ATCCCGTCTATGTGATAACGCTATATTCAGCCCAATTCATCCCTCGGTCTCATAAGCTCATCTCATCAATTCATCTCATCTCTCCCTCTCACCACTCCCACTTATCACTCCCTCTCATCACTCCGTCGTGTCTCTTCACCCATCCCCCAATCCCCTGCGGCATGCGGCAGTGACATGAGCAACAACAGCTTCAGCGGATCCATCCCTGATGCCATTGAGGCGCCTCAAAAGTGATCACCTCACTCATCCCTCCATCCCCCCATCCACCCATCCACCCATCCCCATCGGTTGTGGCATGTGGCAGTGACATGGGAAACAACAGCTTCAACGGCTCCATCCCTGATGCGATCACCAACCTCCAGGACCTCACGAATCTGTAAGCCTCCCTTCCCTAGCCCCTCTGACTCCCAATTCCCTGAGCAACCCCCAAGTCTTCTCACAGGGCTGTACGCTTGGCCTCAAAGAGATTTACCCCTCGTCCCTGTAGTCTGTGTGCTGCCCTCACTGATCACTCTCTCTAGTCAGTTTCCTCTCACTCTCATCATGAAGCACCCTTTGATATCTTTCCTCTCAGCGCACATTTACACCCAGACCCATATGGAGTGGACAGTCAGGGGGGATAATTTGGTGTCATCCCTCGTCCTAATCCTCATCCCCTCTCACCTGCCTACCACTCTGCCTCCTCTACCCTCCCTGGCGACTCACACGTGCGTGCAGGGACCTGTCTGATAACTTTCTCTCTGGACCGATTCCCGCAGGCCTGGGCTCCATCCCTAAGCTCCGTAACTTGTGAGCAGCCATGGATCGCACACACAGACATATGGTTACACTCACACACAGACATATGGTTACACTCACACACAGACATATGGTTACACTCACACACAGACATATGGTTACACTCACACACACACGGGCACACTCACACATGCACAGGCGTGCGCATGCGCTCGCGCACGCACTCACGCGCACACACGCGCGCGCGCGCGCACACACACACACACACACCCACACATACCCACACACACACTATTCCACAATTGCAGAAGCGTTCGCAAAAACACTCCCCTTCACTCCCAGCCTCACTCCCGTCACTGCATGCTCCTCCTCTTCCCACCCTCTTCCTCCCCAGTCCTCCTTCTTTCTCACCACTCCCCCTTCCAGGTGGCTGGGAACCAGCCCCGAGTGCCCCAAGGAGTAGAATCAAAAGTCTGTGTGGTGCAGAAGAGCTCAGGCAGGCAGCTGTGTAGTATGAGTAGAATCAAAAGTCTCCTCCGCTTCTTCCTTCCTCCCTCGCCATTACCTCTTCCAGGTGGCTGGGAACGGGCCCCGAGTGCCCCAAGGAGTACACCAGCTGTGTGGTTCCGCAGAGCTCAGGCAGTCAGCTGTGCATGTGGTGCTCCTACTTCTGCTCCACCTGCGACAAACAGAACCGTGAGTTGGATTCAAAGGCACCAACTGGATACAGATGCACTAAAACAATTCTGGACTTTGAGTTTCTGCACTCTGCCCCCGCACATCGCTGCACCTATTCCCACCTTACTGTTTTCTCACCTCATTGCACCTGTTTTTTAACCTCACTGCAGCTTCTTCTCACTCCACCTTCGCGTCAACCCCACCTCCTATCCAAACAACTCAATCGCTCACCACCAGTGCCAACATGCATCTAGCCATTCCCAGGACCACCAGGGCCACGTTGATCTCAGTGTCTCCTCAGCATTCCCCATCCCACCTTCCCCTCATTCCACCTTCCCTTCATTCCACGTTCCGTTATTCCACATACCCTCTACAGCTCTGGACAACCTTGTCTGGCCCATTCAAGACGCCACCACCATCTCCACCACAAACAACAACCACAACAACGCCAGCGCCACTGCGAATTCCTCCACCTCGGGGCTTTCCACAGGAGCCATCGTGGGCATCGTGGTGGGCGTGCTGCTGCTCCTCGTTGGCCTCGTTGCTGTTGTCTTCATCGTCATTCGCTGCGGCAAGAAAACCGAAGGTGGCAACAGCCTTTCCTCCACTTCCTTTGCTTTCTCCACTGAAGTTGTTCTTAGACATGCACACCAGCACATTCACCAAAACTCACGTCATCTCCCGTGCTAACAACAAATAAACATAACAACTATACAAACACAAGTATACACCAGAAACGCTCTGTTCTCCCGACGCATGCCTCCACACCCTGTCCTCTACCCTGACAAAGCAATCAGAAATCTGCCTTTTTTTCTGTGCAGTGGTGGAAGTGCCCCCCTATGCGGGTGGAGGCCAGTACCCCGCTTCAGACGCAGCTCCTCAGGGCACGTATGCTAAGGGCTATGGCGGTTACCAGCCAGATGCAAGTGCCAAGGTCTAAACAAAGCAACTCCACGTCCCAATACCGGTACCTGCTACTCTTCGCTACTCCTGCACCTGCTGCAATCTGCTACACCTTGTGCTGGCTAGAACCGCTTCTACTGTACTCAGGATAATGGTACAACCTGCTACTTCGATGATTTATGGGTGCCTCCCCTACCAGACATCATTTCTTACCCATAGAGTAAATGTATTGGAAGAGAATTATGAGTAGCTTAGTCCTTCGTGTCTTAAGATGTCGAGTTACTTGGTGCAGCGAAAACTTGTGTTTGCAAATGGGCCTGGAGCTAATGATCCAAATCCCATACCAAAACCGGCATTGAATGAGCATAAGATTTCAAATGTACAGTATTGGAAAGCTTGCATTATCATTGGAGATTTGCATCAACTTACCTATACTGTGTGCAGCAGAAGTACCATACAGCATTGCCAAGCATATTCCAGCATGGTACATCATAAAGCTGGTTGAGTGGGGATTCTCAGGCCTGCACGGTATAATGGTGGGCCTCTTAGGAAATCGTTGTGGAAATTGTCAGAAGCTAGGGGCTTTCACTCAGCTCAACAGAAACTAAGACCACGCCTTACACAAGAGAGGGTTGCTTGGGAGAGCATCACTAGTCAGAAAGTATTTCTCAGCTACATACCAAGTAGAAACTGAAGTTTAATGTAGGCAGCAACTCGAAACTAAAGAGTCCGTCCTTGGTGGTTCATGCAGCCAGCCCCAACCAACCCAAGCACCAGCAATGGGGATGCCAAAAAAACGCCACGCTTTCCAACGGTTATCACACTTGCTGAGATCCACCCCTTCAGCACGATGCCATTAACTGTAACCTCCTTAACATAGAAGCTCGAAGGCTTCGGGAACAGCCCAACGCTGACAAACGACTTGATGGTGCCGACTGGCTGGTAGGCGGACATGAGTGTGACCTTTTCTTGAAAGGTGCAGTTCCAGTTGCCGCTAGTTGCTTCCACCTGGAATGTGCAGGGAAACTCGGCGAGGAGGGTGTCAAGGCTGCGGTAGTAACCGGAACTGGAGATTGAAGGGGTAGATGATGTGACGGGTACTCATGTAACGCAGAAAACGAAGGAGAAATTATGGAGGGTGGTCGTGCTGGAAGGGGGAGGGAGAGAGGGGGAAGAGGGGAGGAGGGTGAGGAGGGGGAGGGGGGGGGGGGGGGGGGGGGGGGTGGGGGAGGGGAGGAAGGATTGGAGGAGACTGGAAATTACAACTCGAAATTACAACGTCAGATTGACCGCTTCAGGTTATTGGTTCTGATATTATTTTTCTCGACCTAATCTGGAGCAAGTCACAGACATTTCAGGGAATCTCGCAGAGCGGGTGAGCAGATTCAATACCACTCAGGTTACTGCTTGCCAGGAAGGAGAAACAGGGAGATAAAGGCAGCATTTTTCCATGGAACTCACTACTACAAGGCGCATCATGACGATTCTTATCAGATGCCATCGACAATAGCTGACCACAAAGCGCGACCGCGAACACAAGTAGCTTGTGACTTGACCACATCTTTCCATGTCTCTTGGAACTGCTGCTTGCCTGGTTTTGGGGAAAGAATATAGCATGCAAACTAGGCAAATGCTGCTCCCAGCTTCTCCCGTTCTTGTGGCAACCTGCAATGTAGTCTTTAGGAAATTTATGGGGTTCAGTTGGGTGAAGCGGTTCCGATCGAGCCTGTTTGTGTTAGTGCAACCCCATGGTTTGCACGCATCTTGTTGTCATTGTGTGCACGTGTGTGTTTGCATGGAATGGTGGTAGAAGCATGAGATAATATTTGTGTCATGCTTATATAAATGTGTGAATGGAGTCATGCTGTTGAATGTGTGTCGAGTCAACAACGAGTTTTCGTTAGTCGCACGTCGTGTCGCCGTTTGCGTGTCGTGTATATTTTCTGGTTTGTCGTGAGTCAAGCGTTCGACTTGTCGCAGATGTATGCGGCAAGCATTGAAGAACTCAAGGATGACCCAGAGCCTTGGTTTCAAAATTCAAGTGATTTCGAAGCTCACCAAAATGATAAACATCAATATAGTGAAAAATGTTACATTGCATTGTGTAGTGTAATATTTCCCTAGGTGTAGGCCCTTGTGGTGGGTAGTTTAGAGACTCTTCGTGGTTGGGGACTATGTGGCACTGTTCCACCTTGCTGGATCTCAGCTTTTGGGGTTTGTAGAGGCTCAAAATCATTTCCAACTCAAACTTGTTCCGCAATTGTATTCTAAGAGAATAGTCGCTGCTAGACCTCCGTTTGTTCAAACTAATTTCACGACGTCATTTCTTTGTCAAATTAAGTGAACCCACAGTGGGACGTGTCCTTGCTAACCGAACACTAACCGAACCTAGAATAAGCAGGCAAAGGCCAAAACATGCAACCTTCCTACTGTTCTTTTCCAATACTACAGTTGTCAAAAATCATATCATTTTCCTGCAGTACAGTAAACCATATATAATTTTTGTTACCCACATATCAGTACCCCCCTCTGCACTCGCCAAATAAGATTTTGCATTATCGATTCTCTCAATACACTCCTACAGCAGCTGTAACTCTTTAAGTGCAATAATATGGTGATAGGCCCTTGAATGTGAGAGATGCAGTTGCCTGATAGAGTTTGCACGTGTACCACACATTAGACTACACCTGGCCAGCAGCACCAGGCTGGTAACCAGCATAAGCATCCTGAGGCGGCTTGTTGTACTGGTTATCCCCTGCGTATGCCCCCGCAGCTTGAGTCGTGTATTCTACCTCCACCTCTGGAGAGAGGAAAGCACACACAAGGGTATAAGGACAAGGGAGGTGTGAAGGAATGCATGGAGGAATAGCGGAGAGGAATAACGGAGAGGAATAACGGAGAGGAATAATGGAGAGGAATAACGGAGAGGAATAATGGGGAGGAATAACGGAGAGGAATAACGGAGAGGAATAACGGAGAGGAATAACGGAGAGGAATAACGGAGAGGAATAACGGAGAGGAATAACGGAGAGGAATAACGGAGAGGAATAACGGAGAGGAATAACGGAGAGGAATAACGGAGAGGAATAACGGAGAGGAATAACGGGGAGGAATAACGGGGAGGAATAACGGGGAGGAATAACGGGGAGGAATAACGGAGAGGAATAATGGAGAGGAATAACGGAGAGGAATAACGTAGAGGAATAACGGAGAGGAATAACGGAGAGGAATAACGGAGAGGAATAACGGAGAGGAATAACGAAGAGGAATAACGGAGAGGAATAACGGAGAGGAATAACGGAGAGGAATAACGGAGAGGAATAACGGAGAGGAATAACGGAGAGGAATAACGGAGAGGAATAACGGAGAGGAATAACGGAGAGGAATAACGGGGAGGAATAACGGGGAGGAATAACGGGGAGGAATAACGGGGAGGAATAACGGAGAGGAATAACGGAGAGGAATAACGGAGAGGAATAACGGAGAGGAATAACGGAGAGGAATAACGGAGAGGAATAACGGAGAGGAATAACGGAGAGGAATAACGAAGAGGAATAACGGAGAGGAATAACGGAGAGGAATAACGGAGAGGAATAACGGAGAGGAATAACGGAGAGGAATAACGGAGAGGAATAACGGAGAGGAATAACGGAGAGGAATAACGGAGAGGAATAACGGAGAGGAATAACGGAGAGGAATAACGGAGAGGAATAACGGAGAGGAATAACGGAGAGGAATAACGGAGAGGAATAACGGAGAGGAATAACGGAGAGGAATAACGGAGAGGAATAACGGAGAGGAATAACGGGGAGGAATAACGGGGAGGAATAACGGGGAGGAATAACGGGGAGGAATAACGGAGAGGAATAATGGAGAGGAATAACGGAGAGGAATAACGTAGAGGAATAACGGAGAGGAATAACGGAGAGGAATAACGGAGAGGAATAACGGAGAGGAATAACGAAGAGGAATAACGGAGAGGAATAACGGAGAGGAATAACGGAGAGGAATAACGGAGAGGAATAACGGGGAGGAATAACGGGGAGGAATAACGGGGAGGAATAACGGGGAGGAATAACGGAGAGGAATAACGGAGAGGAATAACGGAGAGGAATAACGGAGAGGAATAACGGAGAGGAATAACGGAGAGGAATAACGGGGAGGAATAACGGGGAGGAATAACGGGGAGGAATAACGGGGAGGAATAACGGAGAGGAATAATGGAGAGGAATAACGGAGAGGAATAACGTAGAGGAATAACGGAGAGGAATAACGGAGAGGAATAACGGAGAGGAATAACGGAGAGGAATAACGAAGAGGAATAACGGAGAGGAATAACGGAGAGGAATAACGGAGAGGAATAACGGAGAGGAATAACGGAGAGGAATAACGGAGAGGAATAACGGAGAGGAATAACGGAGAGGAATAACGGAGAGGAATAACGGAGAGGAATAACGGAGAGGAATAACGGAGAGGAATAACGGAGAGGAATAACGGAGAGGAATAACGGAGGGGAATTTCAGGATCTAGACTCTCCGTCGATGAGTGCAAGCAGCAGAAACTACACAGTGCAAGGAAAAGAAGCATTGATTAGCATTCGTAGACTCTCATGCCCACTCTGTACGTGTTGCCGCACTGAAAGGCAATAAAGGCCCCGACAAGTGAGAGATGTGTCACAGACGGAGAGGAGAAGGCATCTTCTGAGAAGCCTTTGAGGGGCTTACCTTTGGACCTGTTGCTGCACTGAATGACGATGAAGGCAGCAGCAACAACGCCAACGATGAGCAGAACGATGCCCACCACGATGCCCACAATGGCTCCTGTGGACAGCCCCGAGCTGGAGGAGGAGGAAGCACTGGCGCTAGAAGGTGGGTTTCAGGGGCTTACCTTTAGACCTGTTGCCGCACTGAATGACGATGAAGACAGCGGCCACGACACCAACGACCAGCAGCAGCACGCCCACCACGATGCCCACGATGGCTCCTGTGGACAGCCCCGAGCTGGAGGAGGAAGCATTGGCGCTGGCGTTGGCATTGTTGTTGTTGGTGTTGGTGATGGTGGTGGTGCTGCTGCTGCTGCCGTCGGGGTTGGATGGAGGAGGCTCAACAGGAGTAGGAGGGGAAGGAGGAGGGGAAGGGGAAGACTCGGAGGGAGATGCAGGGATGGGAGGAGAGATCGGAGGCTCAGATGGGGATGCTTCTGACGGGGATGCTTGGGATGGGGTTGCCTCGGATGGGAGTGCCTCGGATGGGAGTGCCTCGGATGGTTGGGCAATGGATGGTGGGGCATCGGACGCTGGGGCTGCACACAAAACAAGAGTATCAGAAACAAAAAAAGGATGTCTTGCGCAGACTCGGAGTATGGACTACAAGCAAACGTGTTTTGAGTCGACTCAAAACACGACAAGAGTATCCGACACAAAAAAAGGATGTCTTGCGCAGACTCGGAGAACGGACTACAAGCAGAAGGGAATCAGAATTCAGGTATTGCCGCCACAAGGGATGCGATGCAACAGGTTCGGCCCCGGCAACCAGTGTTACCGACCAGACAGGAGGGAAGCAAGCAACACATTGTACCCACCAGGGGCGGGAGGGATGCAACAGATTGTACCCACCAGGGGCGGGAGGGATGCAGGAGTTGCAGAAGGCAGCACAGGCGGTGCAGAACTCGCTGCCGTCTCTCTGCTCCACCACACACGAGGTGTTTTTGGCAGGGCACGCCACGGTAGAGTCGTAGTTGCTGCACGCAGGGGCGGTGAGAGGGAGGGCAAGGGAGTGAGAGATCAGGAAGTGGGAGGAAGTGAGAGAGAGGGCAAGGAAGTGGGAGGGCAGGGGCTGTGAGAAGGCTGGGAGCTGCTGGCAGGGCAGGCCACGGTAGAGCCGTAGTTTCTGCACGCAGGGGCGGTGAGAAGGGCAGGGCAGTGAAAGAGGCAGGACAGTGAGGGGGGCAGGGCGGTGAGAGGGCGGATTGACAGTAGGAGGAAACTGATGTGCGATGGAAAGCGATAGGGGGATGAAGCAAGGAAGAAACCAAGCAGCAGCACCACACAGTCGCTCTGTAATCCATTGATACCTTACACAGATCCCAAGCAGCGCCATGGCACACAGAGTGCAAGCCGCGCCATCGCATTGCAGACGTTCGTCTTGATGCCCTAGTCTGCAATAGCGACAATTTACTGCCATTTCCTCTTCAGCTGCTCTTCTGTTCTCTGCTACGTCATCTTACGTTCATATACAAGGTGTGAGCTGCTGTGACTCGTCATCTCACAGGGTGAAGAGCTGTGGTGCCCCCAGAGTGGCTGGAAGCGTGCCGGTCAGCTTGTTGCCATCGAGCCTCCTGTGTGGGTGGGGGCGAGTTCAGAAATGAATATTATGTCCCGAGAGGGGATGAGGGCATGCTAGGCGGTGATGTGCGGTGGAGTGAGGAGATACGGTGCGCTCAGAGTGGCTGGAAGCGTGCTAGTGAGCTTGTTGCCCGCGAGCCTCCTGTGTGGGTGGGCAGAGAAGGAAACTTGCACTTGAGATTCAGGAGTGTGTTCAGAGGTGACTTTTGAGTCGACTCAAAAGCCTTCTGTGTGGGTGGGCAGAGAAAGTATACTTGCAGTCACTGTGTGTGGGTGGGCAAGAAGTATACTTGCACTTCAAATTCAGGAGTGTGTTCAGTGGTGACGACATGTAAGGCAATGATGTGTGGTGAGGTGAGGACATGAGGGCAATAGAAGCGGAGGTATGGCAGGAAAATTGAAGTATGGACAACACTCACAGCAGGCAGCAACACTCACAGCAGGCAGGCAGCAGCACTCACAGCAGGCAGGCAGCAGCACTCACAGCAGGCAGGCAGAAACACTCACAGGGTCTGAAGATTAGTTAGCAAGCCAAGGTCGGATGGAATGGAGCCACCCACACCTGTGTACTCGAGGCTCCTGGTGGGGTAAGGCAGGGTAGGGGTGGGGAAGGCAGGGGGTGAGAATAGGGAACGTAGCACGCAGCAGCATCCTTAGGGTGTGAAGGTCAGGAATTGAGGCAAGGCCGGATGGAATTGAGGCACCCACGCCTGTGGAGTCGAGGCTCCTGGTGGGGTAAGGCAGGGCAGGGAGGTGGGGAAGGTAGAGGGGGAAGGACGGGGAAGGCAGTGAGCCAAGGCCGGATGGAATTGGGCAGCCCACACCTGTGTAGTCGGAGGCTCCTGGAGCAAGAGAGGTAGGGGCAGAGGATGGGCAGACTCGGCATGAAAGTGGGGGGCAATGTGCATGGTGGGGGGGGAGAATCGGCATGCAAGGGGGGGAATGTGCATGGATGGGGGAAGAGGATGGGCATGAAGTTAAATTCCATGAAGCCCATTAATTTATGTTCAAGTGGATGGAAAACAGGCCAGATGATGATCGAAAAATGATTCGAATGTGGTGACGTGCGGTGAGGTGCGGTGAGGTGAGGCGAGGTGAGGTGCGGTGAGGTGAGGCAAGGTGAGGTGCGGTGAGACACGGTGAGGTGAAGTGCTGGTTCGTCGTGAAGGCTTACAGCTCAACGAGGTTTGTAAGGGCGGTGATGGTGCTGGGGATGGTGCTGCCTGTGAAGTTGTTGCCCTTGAGAGTGCTGCAGGGAGAACAGGGTCGAGGGATTTTGGAGGCGTCCCAGGAATGGTGTTTCCTGTGAAGTTGTTGACTGTGAAGTTGTTGACTGTGAGCTTGCTGACTGTGAGCTTGCTGCCTGTGAGCTTGCTGCCTGTGAGCTTGCTGCCTGTGAGCTTGCTGCCTGTGAGCTTGCTGCCTGTGAGCTTGCTGACTGTGAGCTTGCTGCCTGTGAGCTTGCTGCCTGTGAGCTTGCTGACTGTGATCTTGCTGCCTGTGAGCTTGCTGCCTGTGAGCTTGCTGCCTGTGAGCTTGCTGCCTGTGAGCTTGCTGCCTGTGAGCTTGCTGACTGTGAGCTTGCTGCCTGTGAGCTTGCTGCCTGTGAGCTTGCTGACTGTGATCTTGCTGCCTGTGAGCTTGCTGCCTGTGAGCTTGCTGCCTGTGAGCTTGCTGCCTGTGAGCTTGCTGCCTGTGAGCTTGCTGCCTGTGAGCTTGCTGCCTGCGAGCTTGCTGCCTGCGAGCTTGCTGCCTGCGAGCTTGCTGCCTGTGAGCTTGCTGCCTGTGAGCTTGCTGCCTGTGAGCTTGCTGCCTGTGAGCTTGCTGCCTGTGAGATTGCTGCCTGTGAGCTTGCTGCCTGTGAGCTTGCTGCCTGTGAGCTTGCTGCCTGTGAGCTTGCTGCCTGTGAGCTTGCTGCCTGTGAGCTTGCTGCCTGTGAGCTTTCTGCCTGTGAGCTTGCTGCCTGTGAGCTTGCTGCCTGTGAGCTTGCTGCCTGTGAGCTTTCTGCCTGTGAGCTTGCTGCCTGTGAGCTTGCTGCCTGTGAGCTTGCTGCCTGTGAGCTTGCTGCCTGTGAGCTTGATGCCTGTGAGCTTGCTGCCTGTGAGCTTGCTGCCTGTGAGCTTGCTGCCCTGTGAGCTTGCTGCCTGTGAGCTTGCTGCCTGTGAGCTTGCTGCCTGTGAGCTTGCTGCCTGTGAGCTTGCTGCCTGTGAGCTTGCTGCGGGGGTCAGAGGGAAGAGCTTTCACACATGCTGCCGCAATGAGTCTCTGAGACTGTTCTTTTTTCTTCTTCTTTTTGCCATTGAAAAAAATGGTTAACTGGATGCATGCACGTTTTCTCACAGCACTTCGCTTGTTACAGTTGAGAACGAAATCAGTCATAGGTCCTCCATTATTCGTTAGGAGTGCTCCTCCACCACTCACACCCCACCCTCCCCTCACATTCCTCCTCCCCCACTCACACCCCACCCTCCCCTCACATGCCTCCCCCACTCACACCCCACCCCCCCCTCACACGCCTCCCCCACCTCTCACACCCCACTTCCCTCTCACGCCCCACCCTCACTTCACAAACGCACCTCCTCCCCTGACTCACAGGTACTCCAGGTTGGGAATGGTGCCAACACTGCTGTTGCAGTTGTTGCTGTTCCATTCGTTACAACCACTTATCCCCTCACACCCACGCCTTCCTCCCCTGACTCACAGGTACTCCAGGTTGGGAATGGTGCCAATGCTGTCAGTGAGCGGCCCAATGTGGTTGTTGGCGCTGGTCTCCCCCTCACACCCCACCCTCCCCTCACAACACTCCCTCCCCTCACACGCGTGCTTCCTCTCCTCTCACACGCGCACCTCCTCCCCGGACTCACAGGTACTCCAGGTTGGGAATGGTGCCAATGCTGTCAGCGAGCAGTCAATGATGTTTTTGGCACTGCTGGTCCCCCCCTCACAACCCACCCTCCCCTCACAACCCACCCTCCCCTCACAACCCACCCTCCCCTCACAACACTCCATCCCCTCACACGCGTGACTCACAGGTACTCCAGGTTAGGGATGGTGCCAATGCTGTCGGTGAGCGGCCCAATGTTGTTGTTGGCGAGGTCGCTGTGAGACGTGGGAGGGAGAGGCGAGGGAGGAAGGGAGAGGCGTTGGAGGGACAGGCATGGGAAGGAGAGTGGACCAATGCTGCTGTTGGTGAGGTCGCTGTGAGACGTGGGAGGGAGAGAGGTGATGGAGGAAGAGAAAGGAGTGGGGCACTGGGATGCATGTGCGAGGGCATGTTGGTGGGGCACTGGGATCGTCCCCAGTTGAGTGTGGGAGGGCTACAGGCGCGGCCTGGAGGGTTATGGGGTGTGCTACCCACCATACAAAATGCCCTTTTAACCCATTCGGTAGCAGGCTGGGCAAACAGGGCATGGGTACAATTCATACCTATGGCAGTTCTAGATGAGCACGGGTTGCGCTTACAGAAAAATAGGTTGTGTAAAGATAAATAAATAGTATATATATATATACATATATCACAACAATAGGTGAGTGAGCTTACAGCGAGGTGAGGTTCTTGAGGTTGGAGAAAGATTCGGGGATGGGCCCAGTGAGGGCGTCACCCGTGGTGTCATAGTCACTCACGCTGATGCTCCTGTGGAGACGCACAGGGGGAGATGTAATGGAGAGGGAGAGTGATGCCATTGCCAAGCGCTGTGGAATCTCCAGCAAGAGAGAGGACTGGGATGGGAGAAATTGTAGTTTTGAGGCCTCAAAACGAAACTCTAAGGCCTGCCTAGTGTGTATCATCATCACAACTGTCCAGAGTGCACAGTGCCTCTATTTTGAGAAAGCAGTGCTTGCAGAGAGGGGTGACTGTAATGAGAAAGCGGTGCTCACAGAGAGGGGTGACTGTAATGAGAAAGCGGTGCTCACAGTGATTGCAGGCTGGCCATGTTGCCAAAGGAGGCCGGGATGCTGCCCGATGCCACCTGCATGATGGTGCTGCATGGGCGGAAGGAGGTGAGAGGGTGATGAGAGAGGGAGGGAGGAGAGGGTGATTAAGAGAGAGAGGGGGGAGGTGGGCATGGTGGGGGCATTGCCAATCACCCTGGTTAACCACCCTGCTCGATTAGGAGGGGTGTGACAATGATAGAGTGGGGTGATCATGATGCAGGGGGTGGCACAAATAGTAGAGTTGTGTTGGGGTAGAGAGATAGTCAAAGCATGGTTGCACGGTGGGCCCTGGGCAGCGCAGTGTGTGGTGGACAGCGCAGTGTGCAGTGCGGTGCGGTGTGGTGCGGTGGAGAGGGGCTCACAGCTTTTGCAGGTTGGTCATGTTGCCCATGCTGGCAGGCAGGGTGCCTCTAACGGGGATGAACCCCAGGTCTCTGCCATTCACACACGCACATCAACAAACACACGCGCATGCGTGCACACATACACACACATACGTGCACGCACGCACACACACACACACACACTCGTGCATGCACGCACGCGCACCCACGCACACATACATGGGGGAATGAGCCTCATACCTCGCACAACAAGCTGAATTGCAAGCAGGAAGAACTGAATTGCCTCGCGAGACACGCTTTTCCAATCCCATCACCTCATCGCTCACAGCAAAGAGAGTGGGTAACAGCAGAGGGAGTGGGTGACAGCAGGGAGAGAGGGTGACAGCAGGGAGAGAGGGTGACAGCAGGGAGAGAGGGTGACAGCAGAGTGGCTTACAGGGAGGTGAGTCGTGTGAGGTTGGTGATGACGTCTGGAATGGTGCTGAAGCCCTGTTGGGTGATCAGGGACGTTGGGCTGGTGTGGCGCAGAGGGGGATCGGAAGGAGAGGGCGGAAGGAGAGGCGGGATGAGCGGGCGGAGGGAGAGGGCGGAAGGAGAGGGAGGACGGAGAGGCGGGATGAGCGGGCGGAAGGAGAGGGCGGAAGGAGAGGGCGGAAGGAGAGGGCGGAAGGAGAGGGCGGAAGGAGAGGGCGGAAGGAGAGGGCGGAAGGAGAGGGCGGAGGGAGAGGGCGGAGGGAGAGGGCGGAGGGAGAGGGCGGAGGGAGAAGGCCGATGGAGAAGGAGGAGAGGGAGGATGGATAGATAAATGAAGGATCTGGCTTCGCAAGGGACCCATGATAACCGGCAGCAACACCAGCACCCATCATCATCACATCACCATCACCAGCAGCACCCGCAGCACCACCAGCAGCATCCCCCATCATCGTCACGTCACCACCACAAGCACCAGCACCAGCAGCAGGAGCAACACTAGCAGCAGGCAACACCAGCAGCAGCAGCAGCAGGAGGAAGAGCAGCAGCAGCAGCAGCACAGCATCACCACCTCATTGCTAGTACCAGCACCACCACCAGCATCACCACCACAAGCAGCAGCAGCAGCAGCAGCAGCACTTGCACCCATGGGCATTGGCGCGTACGTGATGGAAACGATGAAGCCCTCCGTGTCGCACTCGCGCACCACCTGGGTGTTATACGTGTCCGCGCAGTCCCCGCCGTTGACAATGTCGATTTCCCACACCTTGGACAGCTCCTTGAGAGGCGGGACTGAAGCGAGAGGAAAGAAGAGGTAGAGGGGAGGGCGGGGACGGGAATGAGATATCTGAGGCGCCCCTAGGATCGACCTGGGTGTTATGCGTGTCCGCACAGTCCCCGCCGTTGACAATGTCGATTTCCCACACCTTGGACAGCTCCTGGAGGGAGGGGGAAGGGCGCCTCATAATCGACCTGATAGCTATTCGAAGGCCGCGCAGCCGCCGCCGTTGATGATATTCTGTCACCCTCTCGCCGCCTCAAAATCTCCCTTAGACAACTCCTTGAGAGGCGGGACTGGAATAAAGGGGGGTGAAGGGGTGGAAGGGGGGGAGGATGGAGGAGGTGGATCATCTAAAGTACTAGTCAACCATACTATAGTATGAAAGCAGAAAAGGGGGAGGAGATGACTCCTCGGAGGAGACGGATGAATTCGGATGGTGAGGAGAGGGGAGCGGCGGAGAGTACTGGTCACGTCATCATCTATTTGATGTTGTCGCTTCGCCAAAAGTTTCGGTTATGGGGTGTCGCCGCATGGAATGCAACGCGCCGATGCGACGCGACGCTGCGACCAGCTTACGTTGCGACTGTTCGATGAACGGAATCGCTTCTGCGGCGAAGTAGTGTCCGGCGCCGCGTGTGCCGCCGGTCCCCATCCCAGTGGGATCAGGAATGAGAAGTGCGAGGAGGAGAACAATAGTCGTGCCTCCAAATAGCCTTTTCGGGGACACTGCCGCGCCGTCGTTTCTCGCCATGTGGCTATGACTGACTATTCCTACTACTTTTGCAGGAGAATCAGTTGAGATGTTGCTGATTCAAATGGCTTTCGCTGCTTCTGGATGAGACACGGCGTCGATGCAATCAAGATTGTGTGAGTGACTGTTAGGGTTGGATGTGTTGCTGTGCTGGAATGATGAATACAAATAGGGAAGGGTTCTTGAATGGAACAGATGGATGAGAATGAATGGAAAAGGAAACCCCAATGTGAAAATGAATGCGAACTAAGGCAGGGAATTTGGGGTTTTCGGTGCGGTGCGCTACGGTACAGCGCATACGTCTAAACACCTGGGATTGCGCGCGAACGTGCCGCCGGAGCTGCCTTGCTGGACGCCATGACAGCATTCTCTCTCAACGAGTATTTGCCACGAAGGATTCAACGTTAGTCTTTGAAGCTTTCGTGATACGAAAATCGTCGATCTCCATCGAGATTCATACCGGAGCCCACGAACTTGTTGCATTGGGAGGAACCGTGCACGAGAAAGAAGCCCAAGTGGATGGTTCTGCTGAGCTGGAAGGCCGGGGTCACCGCTCGCCCGGTCGTCAATGTCAATCTTAGTTTGGCGGTGTGCTGGCGGTATGGTCACACTTCTTTCTTAGACCAATCGCAACGACCAAATTCTGACATTGAACGACTTGCTATGGTACAAGTCCCTCACGATCAGCATCTGTGCGAGGTTGTACTTCGGCAGGCAGACGTGCATCAGCAACAAATTTATAAGGTCGTGTAACGCCCCTGTAACGCGTATTTCTTTGGGACTGTTACAATAAATTCCTTTCATATGCGTCATTCTCTCAACTTGTTTCAACAGGTTCCTTCTTGCAACAGAATTGAGTGAATCTTAAATATAAAATTGATATAAAATTCGACCATCCGATAAATTATTAATATACTATACTGGTATTCAACAGAAGTGGTCACCTCTTTTGGAATTAAGTGTTCGTTTCGATATACCCTCCCTTTACACGATGTGTGTACAAGATATAAGGAGTCACCTCATGTCGCATCAGCAGAAGTTCCCCACTCCCCACCATTGTCTCGAATCCCACCCTCCGCCCCGAAGTTCCATCGCGTCCCGTCATTCTGTTCCGCCACAGACCGTCAGGCACATCCTTCGCACTACACATCCACACCACACCACACCACACCACACATCAGAGTGACAAAATATACCATACCACACCTAACCACATCAAACCAAGGAACATCAGCTGAGAACCATATTGCCCTATGTAGCCATAGCCATAGCCATAGCCATAGCCACTCCATCCAAGACTAGCTTCGCGGGATCCATTTCACGCACTAGTTCGCCCTGAATCTGTTTCGGCTGATCCACAGCTCGGCTTGTCGGAAAAAACGAGGATCAGGTTCTCACGAGACACAGCGTAACGAGGCCTTCGCGTTTCATAGAACCACCACCTTCCAACGTCAGGTTCCTTGAAAGACTTTCGATTAGATTCGTTGAGGACAGAGCCAGTTGAATTTTGCTCCCTTGTTGGCATAATTCTGTAAGAACGGGTTTTCTTTCTTAGCAAGTAGTTACGTAGTGTGACCTATTCTAGGAGAGTTTCGATCCAAAGTTCCAATCCGACGGCTTGCAACTACGCATTCCAATCCAGCGGTCCGCAATGAAGCAAAAGCTTTCCGTGAAGCCGCATCCGCATCAACCACCAATCTCCGTCACCCTAACAGACGAGGCTGACGTGGCAAACGAGTGGGTCCAATCGTTCGCCGGGTGGGACGTGACGTCAGGCCACCAGCACCGGATCATGCTCGGGATGGACATCAAATGCCAACCAATCAGATCGCGAGGTCGGGAAGGCAGCGTGGCGCTAGTCCAGCTCAGCAACAGCTCCCACTGCCTGATCCTCCAAATGCTCTACATCGATCGAATGCCTGAAGAGGTCGCGGAGCTCCTCGAAAACCCCGACGTGCCGATCGGCGGGTGCGGGATCGAGGCCGCGGCGAAACTGCTCGAATCCGACTACGGGTTACCATGTAACGGGCTCGTGGAGCTGGGACAGCTCGCGGCGAAGATCTACCACAACAAGCGGTGGCGACAGGCGGATCTAGACGAAATGAATTACCAGCTGGTGGGGACGCCGGTGATGAAGCCAAGGCGAGTGGGACCGGCGGAGTGGTGGCGTCAGGGGCTCGGGTGGAATCAGATCCAGCTGGCGGTGCTCGACGCGTGGATGGCGTTTTCTGTCTTTTCTGAGCTCGCGATCAAGGCGACCGGGAAAGCCGTTCGGCCGTCGCACGGGAGAGCGGGTGTGTGAGAGAGAGAGGGAGAGGCGCGGGGGTCAGGGGAGAGGGGGGGGGTCAGGGGAGAGGCGGGGGGGTCAGGGGAGAGACGGGGGGGTCAGGGGATGAGGCGGGGGGGGTCAGGGGAGAGGGACGGAGAGACGACGGGACGCTGAACGTTGGCGATGAAGCAAGGAGAGGGGTGCAGGCCCGAGATGAATCAACTCATTAGATGTATTACCGTAACCTTTGTTCGTGTACGGATGAGCATGCCGTCACATGGCACTGGACTTCTATGCAAGTTCAGCTTGGGAGCTTGGTTAGCGGCCAGGGTTGGTATGTGCATGTGTTTGCCAGGTGTTGGTATTGGTGCCCCAGGACCAGCAGGCGCCAGGTGTTGGTATTGGTGCCCCAGGACCAGCAGGCGCCATCCACGCCTGGTGCATGTGTCCGCCTGGTGTGATGATGGCGTGAGCGTTACCATAATACGGTAGAAGCTTCGCATTCATGTAGGCAGGCACCAGGCGGCCGGGTACTATTAGGTACGTAGGAACACGGTACGGTGCGGTGCGGTATGTAGTAATGCAATGGACATGGACACACAGCACAGCTTGTGCTATTGGATTTAGGTCGTCGATAGATACCGTATAATCTGCAGTGGTTGCTTTGGTTCATTCAGGCACACTGCTGTCAGTTCTAGGTTGGTGGTAGCGCACTAGGCATAGTATTGGTGGTGTCATGTCAGGATAGATTATTATCGGTTTATAGCACAGCTACCAGATGGTGCAGCAGCGGCAGAGAGTATTTAGGTCGTGTGTCTGGTGCTGTAGTTGAGGGGCAGGTTCGGTGGCTCCAGTCTATGGATGTCAGACCACTTAGAGTGCACTATTGTGGCTACATGCCGCATGAGGCTTTAAATTTGATGTATGTACCATAATTACGGTATGATTATTCGTGCCATGCAAGCTGTTGGGTGTGTGGGTGGGACCCAGGCCCTCAGATTCGTTTTTGGCCTGTCTGATTCGTCAGACTAGTACACAGTTTTAGTCTGAAACTCTCAGAGTTGGTATTTAAAAAAGGCTGAAATTTCTGAGTATAAAAAAAGTCTGAACATCCGAAATCAATGTATTCAATGTTCATCAGAAATGTATTCAATGTTTCATTCACTGTTACCGAAACTAGACTAAGGGGATTTCGGGAGAACATGCTCTGACGGCGAATCTGCAATGTCAGACGCGAATCTTGTGGTGATTGGGTGAATCTTGTTATGATTGGGCGAATCTTTTGTCAGAGCGAATCTAGTGGTGTGACAGGGCGAATCTGCAATGTCAGACGCGAATTTTTTGTGATTGGGCCAAATTGTTGTGCTCTGACGACGACTTTGCTATGATTGGGCGAAATTTTCGTGCTGTAAGGCGCGGATTTGCTGTGTCAAGGCAATTTTGCGTTGACTGTGCGAATCTGCTGTGACCAGTAAAGTCCGAATCACCAGTCAAGAACTCGTTTGTACTCTGAATTCATCAGAGTACACTCCCGAAAAACTCTGAAGCGTCATAGTCAGCCTATAAAAAAAATCTGATTTTCACAGAGTTGAGGCAAAAAAAAATCTGAATTTTACAGAGTACACCCTAAAAAAAATCTGAAATCCCAGACTAAAACAAGCAAATCAGACAAAAAAACTCTGACTTCTGGGGGCCTGGTGGGACCATAATACGCCAGCCCCATTCCTGGTTAAAGGAAGCCTACCTGGACCATACTGACAAGAAGCTATTGTGTAATATAAATGCTCCCATTGCCGAAAACAAAGGTGTTACAGCAGTTTAGTGGCAGAATCCAGGAATGGCATTTGCAGCTGCACCTTGCAGCAGCCCCGCTTTTCAGGCAGCACGTGACGTGCCGTGTTTCGTGCATACACCAGACCAGAAGGCTCATCCATGTGCTTCAATGCCTTCAGGAGCACGACAAGGGCAGCAGGCATGAAGAGGTGCCTGGGTAGGTAGACAGCGCAGCGCAGCCCCGCACAGGAAGGTGGCGGGGTAGACAGAGGAGTTCCATGCATGCAAGGCGCAGCAGCACATCACAGATAGTTGGCATGTTTCAACGCCCCTAGCAGCACATCAAGGGGAGCAGACATGAACAAGGTAGCCGGATACACAGCGGGGCCCCATGCGGTGTGCAGCAGCTCTCAGCACCTTGCATGCAATGTTGGCCCTGACCAATTGTCAGTTGACATGTTTCAACGCCTCTAGCAGTACATCAAGGGGAGCGGACGTGAAGAAGGTGGCTGGGTAGACGGCAGAGCCCCACTGGGGGTGTAGCAGCACCTTACAGCAGCCAGCGTTGGCCACGGGGTATCCCAGCAGCGTCTGTGCTGCTTCCACCTCCCCATAGTATGTTTGACTATTGCGGTTCACCATCTGGTAGGAAGCGTGGGGGCGCGGGGCGGGGTGGGGTTGAAGGGATGATGGGGTGCGAGCGAGGGGTTGGGAGGTGGCACCTTGCAGCAGCCGGCGTTGGCCGCGGGATATCCCAGCAGAGTCTGTGCCGCCTCTACCTCCCCGTAGTATGTTCGACTATTGCGGTTCACCATCTGGTGTGGGGGTGGGGAGGATTGGAAAGGGGGGGTTGGCATGGGGGGTGAGAGCAAGGCATGGGAGGTGGGAGGTGGGAGGTGAGAGGTGGGAGGTGGGAGGTGGGAGGTGAGAGGTGGGAGGTGGGAGGTGAGAGGTGGGAGGTGGGAGGTGAGAGGTGGGAGGTGAGAGGTGGGAGGTGAGAGGTGGGAGGTGAGAGGTGGGAGGTGAGAGGTGGGAGGTGGGGCACAGCAGCACCGTGCGGCAAATAGTGTTGACCATGGAAGGGAATAGAAGCATCTGTGCTGCCTGCACCTCTCTGTAATATGTTTTGCTGTGGCGGTTCACCATCTGGTGGGGGGGGGGAGTGAATATGGGGCATGTGTGGCTGAATGACTGCTGCGGTGGTCCTAAATGGGGGAGGATGGGGGCTTGATTGTGTCATGAAATCAAGGGGTCATACCCAGAGACTCTTGATGATGAATGTACAGGGCGGCTGAGCAGGGATCAATGCAGTCAATGCAGTCAATGCAGTCAATGAAGTCAATGCAGTCAATGAAGTCAACAGGAGACGGCTGGGGAGTGTGGAGCAGAGGCCGATGCAGTCAATGCAGTCAACGAGGCTGTCACATATAGAGACAGTTGATATATATGAACGTACAGTGAGGCCAGAGCAGGAGTCAAGGTCAATCCGGTCAAGGGGGAACGTACGTACAGGGAGGCCGGAGCAAGGGTTGATGTATTCAATGCAATCAACTCAGTCAATGCAGTCAAGGGGGCTGTTTTGAGACGTCCCAACGCAGTCAAAGGGCCACATTCAGGGAGGCCAGAGCAGGGGGTCAATGTAGTCAATGCAGTCAATGCAGTCAACAGGGCACATACAGGGGAAGCTGACAGGGCACATACAGGGAGGCCAGAGCAGGGGTCGATGTAGTCGGCAAAGTGGCCCTGCTGAGAGAGGCGCTCCACAAGAGCCGAGGTAAACGCTGCGAACTTCAGAGGGGCGGGGGCGGACGGGCGGGCAGAGGGCAGGCAAAAGGGCGGGCATGAGGGGGTGAAGGGAGGAAATGGCAGGGAGCCTTTGTGAGAGAGGCAAGAGGTGGTCACGAGGCCAAAGGCGGAGGCAGTAAGGTGCAGAGATGATGCGGGCAGGCAGTCAGAGGAATCAAAAGCACAGGCAGGGACGGGACTGGAGCCTGGAGGCTAGAAGCACGAAGGGCACAGGGCAGGTGAGGGAAGCGCTGCTGCTGCTGCTGCCGCTGCCGCTGCCGCTGCCGCTGCCGCTGCCGCTGCCGCTGCTGCTGCTGCTGCTGCTGCCTGCTGCTGCGAGAGGCAGATCACGAGGTCAGATAGAAAAGCGTGCAAGTTGTTGCAAATCCGTTATCCGACCGACCGACCTCGCACAGGACTTAAAAACACTGCATACTCGTTTCAATCACCGTCTCGAGCAGGCGGTCCTTCTCCTTCTCGACCTCCTCGCCCGTGTTCACCAGACCCACCCAGGAACCCCCTCGCATCCCCATTCCCAACGCCACCCGCACCCACAGCCATGCTTGTTTACGCGCGCGCGCGCACGCACACTATTATCACCGTCTCGAGAAGGCGGTCCTTGTCCTTCTCAACCTCCTCGCCCGTGTTCACCAAATCCACGCGCGCAACCCCTCCTCCCACCCGCATCCCCAACCCCAACTGCACCCACATCTGTGCTCGCGCACACACACTATTATTACCGTCTCCAATAGACGGTCCTTCTCCTTCTCAACCTCCTCGCCTGTGTTCACCAGATCCACCCGCGCCCTCTGCTGCGTGGGCAGAATCAAAAGTTTCGACACGTCCTGCCCGGGAAACAGGGACTCCATATCCTGCTTGTACTGCCGCGGGCAGCCTGAAGAGAAAAAACAGGCAGAGAGAGGGCCGAGAGGGAGGAGATGGTGGGGAGGAAGTGTTCTGAGACGGTAGATTTGAGACGTCTCATATTCTTGAAGATAAAAATGACAGAGAGAGGGCCGAGGGAGGCGCGGAAGGAAATGGTGAGGAGGGGCGGAGGGAGGACGCGAGGAGGAAAGGGGCTGGCGGGATGCAGGGAAGGAGGCGGGATGCAGGGAAGGAGGCGGGATGCAGGGAAGGAGGCGGGATGCAGGGAAGGAGGCGGGATGCAGGGAAGGAGGCGGGTTGCAGGTAACGGGCTAGTGGGAAGGTAACGGGCTAGTGGGAAGGTAACGGGCGAGTGGGAAGGTAACGGGCTAGTGGCAAGGTAACGGGCTAGTGGGAAGGTAACGGGCTAGTGGGAAGGTCATGGCGTCAATTCAACGCCAGCAGGCTATATCCGCGTAACGACAAAAGACTCACTCAACTGTGAACGGAGTACTCGAGGCCCGCAGACGTCCGCAGCACGTCCGTCAGCGCGTACTTCCGTCTAAACTGACGGTCGGCAGGCTTCGCCGTCCCGTCATCGCCGACGGCCGTCATCTCTGCCGGTTGCCGACAGACGTCGTCAATTGAGGCGCTAACGACGCCGGCAGGGGTGCTGGTAGCGGCACTGGAAGAGCTAACGTCGTTTGGGAGCCGGCAGAGATGACGGCCGGTAACTCGCGACAGCGACGGATGGGATATCGACGAGCGACTGGGAACGGAGAGGCGCAGGCGAGGAGCAGCGGAAGAGAAAGTGCCGCGAATGGGGCGTGTAACAGAATTGGTGGGGGACGGGGAGAGAGAGGAAGGTCGGTTGAGGCTTTTAGAAAGGTGCGACCCGTCCCGTGCTGTGTTGTGAAACGAACAGGGCTGTCGTGCGTGGAAACAAATATGGTGGTAGGAAGCTGGGTAGGACCATTGACGAAAGCCATACTACGGTAAACAACGGTTTTTAGGGTTTGTGACGGCTTTCTGTGAGCTTCAGCAAGGTGCGATGGAGTGAGACAAGATTTTGGGTTGTGCGTTTTTCGGGGCTGAAATAAATCTGCTCCAGAATTCTCGTAGCAGCCGATTCCGTTACTAACAGTCACGAAGTGAGTGTATAGGACTTGAGTTACACACATATTCAGCTAACCAGACATGCAATAGTTTCATGAAATATGAGTCTCAACACATGGTCTAGATGGTTGGCTGGCATAGTGAGGACTCACTACAATGTCTCAGCCAATCATAATTATAATAAGAAAAAATAATGGCAAAAAACTCATTGCCGCTTTTTCTGACGAACCCTGCTAAGAACGTCTACCTAAGCTAGCTACCGGTAGTAACAAAGACAAAACACACGAGGTCAAGAAAGCCTCCGAAAAAATAACAAATCATCAACAATCTCTGGTCGTATCAACGAAACTTTGTGGTAGAAGAGAGGAACTCGACTCGAGCAATGCGAGAGAGGAAAGCTCGTGCTGCGTGCCTTGCTTTAAAGGACGAGCATGGGAGATCTCATGACACCAGTGTGATGCGTGCGGTACATTCGCGGCTGTAGGTGGTTGTGACCAAGCAAGTAGCAAGCTGCATAAAATGCTTGCGGAACTTGGAAGAAAACGAGGGTGGGGAACAGACAGGTAGTGATCATCTGCTGGCTGCTGTAGGGGAAGGCACGCGAAACATGGATGATAGGCTAGTGCATCATAAGGGGTGAGTGTGTAAGGAGTATATCAGGATAAAGGAGAGGCTAGCAAGCTTTGAATGACAAGCGGGCATTGAAGGGAGAAGGGGCTGTTGAGCTTGAGCATGTGCAGTCAAGGACAGCACAGCAAGAGAGACACTTGATTCTTGATTCTTGATTCTTTATCTTGAGCGCATGTGCTGTGCTCGCAGCCACGCTCTTCAGAGGGATGGAAGGGAGGGAGGCTGTCAGGAGTTGAATGAGAACGTGAGCATGTGGTCCCATGGCACCAGCAGCAAGAGAGCATGCATTGCGCACTTAAGCGGGACGAAGCGAGAGGGAGGCTGGCGCGAGTTGATAGTGGAGAGGCTAGCGGGAGTTGAAAGCAGAGAGGCTAGCAGGCGTTGAAGGAGGAGAGGCTTTTAAACTTGAGCATGTGCTCCCACGGCACCAGAAGCGCAGGTGGAAGTCGCACACACTTCCCTTCATCCACTTCACTCACCTGACATCAGCCCTCACTCACCGGGCAACAGCGCTGAGGTGCCGTGTGCCCACGACAAGCAGCTCTATGTCCTGCCTCACCACCGCTCCGGGAAGCCACACCAGCAGCAGAAGCAGCAGCTCGATACAGTCACACCTGTAGGCACCTCTAGTGGCCACTCACCGGGCGACAGCGCTGAGGTGCCTTGTGCCCACGACAAGCAGCTCTATGTCCTGCCTCACCACCGCTCCAGGAAGCCACACCAGCAGCAGCAGCAGCTCGATACAGTCACACCTGTAGGCACCTCTAGCGGCCACTCACCGGGCAACAGCGCTGAGGTGCCTTGTGCCCACGACAAGGAGCTCTATGTCCTGCCTCACCACCGCCTGGCATATCTCCTGTCACACCACCTCACTATACATCTACACCAGCAGCACCTCTTGCTGTCACGTCACCACCACTCACCTGCCACCAGCATTCACTCACCTCGCAACAGCGCTGAGATGCCGTGTGCCCACCACAAGCAGCTCTATGTCCTGCCGCACCACCGCCTCGCATATCTCCTGCCGCCGGTCACTCGCCTTGCGCGACACCCCGTGGCAGATCACCTGGTGTGGCGGATGGAACAAGGGGTATGTAATGACAGGTGCTGATCTCGTGGCTAAGCCAGGTGCTGATCTCGTGGCTAAGCCAGTGGGTAGCTCTGCAACGCACACCATGGCATATGGCCTTGCGTGACACCCCATGGCAGGCAAATCACCTGGTGTGGTGTGGCGGATGGAACACAGGGTACGTTAGGTCACGTGTTCATCATGTCGAGTTTGTTGGTCTGCAGGTTTCGTGGGTGGGTGGCTTTGCAAGACACCCCGTGGCAGGCAGGCAGGCAGATCACGTGAAGTGACAGAGCGGGGGATACATAATGACTCACGCTCATCCAGACGCTAAGCCAGTGGGTTTCTCTGCAACGCGCACTGCACCACACTCACCCCACCCACCACACTCACCCCACCCACCACACTCACCCCCTTGCCGTGAGCCAGCTTGCGGTAGCGGTGCAGCAGAGCATCCACGCGTGCGTCGATAGCTGCCTGCGCGTCGTTGCCGCCGCTGCTGCCGCCGCCGCCGCCGCTGCTGCTGCTGCCCGCCCCCGCCTGCTGGGCCTCCGCCCTCCATGCTGCCACTGCCAGGGCCGAGGTTTGGGATGGGGCGAGATGGGGTTAGATGGGATGGGGTAGGGTGGAACGACCAGAGAGGCGAGGTGAAGAAAAGAGGAGGGTGGTGCTATTACGGCCCACAGGTGGCATGACGAGCAGAGGGAGAGGGAATGTGAGCGGTCAGCAGGTTTACAGACACATAACATGGCATGGCATGGGATGGTGTGTTGGGGTGTGGTGTGGCATGGTGTGACATGGTGTGGCGCGGCATGGCACGGCATGGCGTGGCATGGCATGGCATGGCATGGCATGGCATCGAATGGCATGGCATGGCATGGCATGGCCTGGCATGGCGTGGCATGGCGTGGCATGGCGTGGCGTGGCGTGGCATGGCGTGGCGTGGCGTGGCATGGTATGGCATGGCATGGCATGGTCTGGTATGTCATGGCATGGTATGGTAGTACGGTACGGTGTTGTATGGTACGGTATGGTATGATATGGTATGGTATGGTATGGTATGGTATGGTATGGTATGGTATGGTATGGTATGGTATGGTATGGTATGGTATGGTATGGTATGGTATGGTATGATATGGTATGGTATGGTATGGCATGGCATTCGTGGGCGGAGGGGACAACATACACGTGAGAGGGTCGAGCACGTGCAGCATGTAGATGTTGTCGCTGTGTCGGAGGAAGGGTGTTTCACACATGGCATGGTATGGCACGGCATCGCATGGTGTGGCATGAAACAGCATTGCATGGGTGGGGTAGAGGGGACAACATACATGTGCGCGGGTCCAGCACGTGCAGCACGTAGATGTTGTCGCTGCGCCTCAGGGTGGTTCAGTGACTCATAGTATGGTATGGTAAAGCATGGCATAATATGGCATGGTATGGCTGGGTGGGGCAGCTCACATGTGCGCGGGTCCAGCACGTGCAGCACGTATATGTTGTCGCTGCGACTCAGCAGCGTGAGCGCGTAGCGGAAGGCCTGCGGGGCAGCCCGCGCACGCACGCGGGGGCGGGAAGGGAGGGGTGGGGAGGGATGGGGAAAGGTGGGAAAGGGTGAGGAGAGGTGGAGAGAGGTGGAGGGGATGGGTGAAGGTGGCAAAGAGGCATTGTGAGGAATGAGAGGCGCAGGTCGCGTGTGAGAGAGAGGGGGGGATTGACGACAGATCGGGTGTGTGATGAGGAGGGGAAGGCGGAGATGGGGGACGTGAGAAAATGGAGGAAGGGGGGAAGGAAGAGGGGAAGGAGGGCGAGGGAGACGGCGGGAGGATGGAAAGAGGGTAAAGGCGGAGAGGCGGAGCCGGCACGTGCGGCACTCACGGCCTCGGCGCCGTCCGATTCGTCGACGGCCACGAGGATTCGCGGCGAGCCCCCCGGCCTCGGCGTGGGCGGCGCGGGCATCGAGTCGCCTTCCATCCGTGCCGTGACACGCCCGCGCGCGACTGCCGCAGCGACGGTCGCGGCGAGCGGAGAGAGTGAGCTGATTGGCTGGCGCTATCTGGCGACGAGCTTGCTGCAGCCTCTGGTTGCTTCCATGAACGGCGAGCGCGAGAGGCAGTTGATAGTACAGTAATGTATAATTATCGTAATAATATTATAACGTAAAAGAGTAGCTAGCTAGGGAAGAGACTGCACTCTTAGCGAAGACTGCACTCTTAACGAAGAGCCCGATTATATTTGTCTTTCTGGTGACGGTTTACTACCAAGCAGCTTGCATTGCGAACGAAAGAGAAGCCAAATTCAATTGAGCACGACCCTTCAACCGTCCGCTAAACAAAGCACGCGACCCGTGATCGCGCAAGCTACCACGTCACCGTCCGATACAACCTCTTAACGAAACGACCCTTTAACCGTCCGCTACAACCTCAATCAACTAATAAAGGACCACAGACACCAACGGCGGTATTAGGGATGCCAATGCCAGGCACTACGTCGTGCTGTAAGAGCGGCCGTGCGGAAAAGCGATTGCGAGGAGGTGGACCCAATTGGCCATGGCGGGTAAAAGGAAACAGAGAAGGACAATGATTGTTGTCTGCTCGGTAGCAGGCGGTCAAGCTATTCCCAAGGTTGGGCTGCCGTTCAAGCGAGAGTTTTTGTGACGTACAACGATGCTGGGGTGAGGGCTTCAATTCGGCTATAATTAGTTCGGTTCGAATGGGTTGTGGTTGTTTCGAATGGGCTGAGTTGGTTGTGTGCTCACGACAGAGACTCCCTATAGCAGCCTTGCTGTGGTCCTTCGGGGGTTAACGAAAAACAGTGTTCAAAAGTGTGTTTGCAATATAAGTGATGCTATGGTGATTCAAGCGGGAAGTCCTGTTTGAAAAATAATATGGAAGATGTGTTTTACAAACAGGGTAGGTCCCTATGCCCTATATTATATACAAGGTGACTTACGAATGCGCAATCAACAGCAAAATGAAGATGAAAAAAACATCCTAAGGGCATATGCAAAATAGGGAGAGGGCATGGAGAGTGGGATGCAACTCAGGGATGGAAGGAACTAGGTCAGAGGAAGGGGGCGGATATGGGGAGGGGAAAGGGGTAGGAGGGAGTTGAGGGGGAAGAGGGGGGGAGGGGGACAGTGGTCAAGGTAGAGGGAAGATAGAAAAGACAAAATAAAAACGATGAAGGTTGGCTCTACTCATCCACCTTCACTCTATGTACACAACCAGCAATTTCATCCCCAAATCATCACATCACCCTCCAGTACACCTAACCCCACGCTCACATGCAAAACTGCTCGGCAGCTACCCCCACAAAAATCGCAAGGTTCACCAGCGGCCCTTCCACCTCGGGAACTCACAGCAGGTCAAGCGAGTCAACCACCACCACCTCCCATATTGTCACCCTCCAGTACCCCTCAGCCCTACTCTCACACACTCACATGCAAACCTGCTCCGCAGCTACCCCCACAAACACCGCAAGGTTCACCAGCGGCCCCTCCACCTCGGGAATTCTCATCAAGTCAAGCGAGTCAATCACCACCACCTCCCCTCCCCCCTCCGCACTCCTCCTCAGCGCCGCCCGGATCCTTCCCCTCCCCACCTCCACTCCAGCCGGCACAGCCACACTCGCGTATGCCAGCCCTTGGATGCTCACTTGCAGCAGGTGGATCTGACGGCTGTGACGAAACCCCGACTTCACCACCCGAATGCCGTGACGAGGCTTGCCGCCCTCCACTAAATACACCCCTTTCAGCTCCTCTTTCGGCACACTGTCTCTCTCCCAGAGGGAAATCAAATCTCCAACCACGGTTTCAGTCTCAGGGGAAGGCTGGGGACCCATGCCCTCTCGGGCCATCTGCCTGGCTGGCACCACCTTCCAGTGCTGCGCCTTGTTCTTCTCATCGCTGCTCACCGCTTCCAACCGCTCCCAATAGTAATGATCCAGCACCATACCCGTTTTCTTGTTCTTCACTACAACATACACGCCTCCCTCTATGTCTCTCAGCTGCCACTTGTGATACTCGCTGCTGAAATCGTTGTCATAAGCGCCGATCCGTCGCCCACTGTAATGATCCAGAACCAGCCCGCTCGCGCGATTCTGTAACACGTGGTAACCCTTTTCCGTCTTCACTGCGCGCCACTGCTGCTCCAAGGCACCCCACTCATAATCCACAGCCTCTACGCTCTCCTCACACACAGCCAAGGCCTTCCCACTGTCCCGGATAAACACGTAGCTCCACGGTCGGTCCACCACGAGAGCAAGGCTCGCAGACCCCTCACCACCACCCTGCACCGCTTTGCACCACTTGTCACCGCTCTCCTCCTCCTCCTGCTCCCAGTGTGCCTTCCCACCAGTGGTCCCTGCAGGGGTGATGGTCCAGTGGTGCTGGTACTGCAGTTCATCCTCGCTATAAGCCTGAATGCTTATCCCAAAGAAATGATCCAGAACCTTCCCGCTGCCCTGGTTCTTGATCGCCCAGAACCCTCCGCACGCGCCTCTCAGCTCCCATTGGCTGTACTTCCCTGCCACGTGGCAGTCACTAGCAGCCACGTGGCTGCCCCACCAGGAGTGGCTCAGAACAAACCCAGAGGCGCGGTTCTGGAGGAAGAAGTAGGACACGGCTGGTGCTGCTGCCACCACGCCCACACTCACAGCACGCCACTGCTGCTGCAGGCTGCCGCCTTCAAACCCCCGCGCCTCCACGCTGCCGCTCGCATGCGCAGCAAGAGCCATGCCGGTGACTCGGTTGCGGAGGTAGCTCCAGGGGTAGAGCACGGGAAGGGCCATGGTGGAGTAGCGCTCCCCGTCAATTCCCTTGTCCGTCAACTCTAACCCCCTTTTGAACGCCCTGCCTGTCAAACCAGGCAGGAGTTTCGGCATCAAGTGTGGTGGCTGGGACGGGCCTGATCCTGGTGATGATGAGGTTTTGAGTTTGGTGGGCGTTGTTGGTGTGACAGGTGTCGAGTCGTCTGTCAGCGAGACTGGCAGCAAGAGTGGCGGCACGGGCGGCAGGGGTGTGGATTTACCAAGTGCAAGCTCCGGAATGGATTTTTTAGGCGCCTCAAGAAGCTCAGTCGTGGATCTCGCCACGTCATCCGCGCGAATGGCAGCCCACTGGCAGCACGTGCTCGTCTCCACCGCCCCAAAACTTCCTCGCACCGTCGCCCCGCATGTGTTCTCAAGAAACGCTCCCGCCTGGCGGCTCTGCAAAGTGAAGATCTCCAAGCCGTTGACCTCCGCCAGAAGCCACTGGTTGCCCTCGCGAGTCACCTCGTTGTCCGTCGCCTGTGCTTCCATTGGCACTTCCACTGCCACTGCTGCTGCCAGTGACGCAGCTGTGCTATTGTATGATTCCGTCCCACTAGTAGCACTGCCAGTGTCACTGATCTTGGTGAGCCGAGGGGGCTGTTGAGGCGAGTCAAGAGTCGTCGTGCCGGTGTTGAGCAGAGAGCCGGAGGAGCGGTTCTGGAGGCACGTGTAGCCCTCTGACACGGCAACACGCCGCCACTGCTGGGTGACGTCGCCGGGGATCAGATCTACCGCTTGGACGGAGTTGGACTGAAAAGTGCTGGTAGTAGTGACGGAGCTGCCAGACTTGACGGAATCCGATAACGGCTGCTGATGCGAGTGCTGCAGCACCTTGCCGCTCCTTCGATTCCGGATGAGCTCCCAAGGTCCCACGTAGTACACTGCTGACGGAGACACCACCTCTAATCTCCACCAGTGGTTCGGGTTCCTCTCATCCCCGTTATACGCCATCACGGTACCGAGACAACGCGCCAGAACCATTCCTGTACAGCGGTTTCTGATGGCGACGAGGCCTTTCCCCACGTCGTAGAGCTTCCAATGGTGGTTGAAATTCGACACGTCAGCATCTGGAACGGCTGTCACGTCTTCGCCTCGCCAGTGGCCGATGGAATCGCCTGATTGCCGGTTCTTGATCGTGTGGTAACCGTCTCCCGCGTCCAGAAACTGCCATTCTTGACTCTCGTCGCTCAGTTTTTTCTCAGCTTCCGTCACTTCCGTCTCCTCCTCTTGAAGAATCTTCGCCGGTACATCCTGTTCCCTTAGGCTTGCTCCGGATTGGCTGCTGCTGTTAGTTTTTTGGACGACCGCTGTTCTAGGTTTCAAAGATTCGGGCTCTCGACTGGACGAAATAGTGACTAGGTCGTCGTCCTGAGAGAGCCATGCTTTCTCGAACGCGTCTCGAATGGTGTACCACATCTCGCGATACTTTCACTTAATAGAAAAACGGGTATTTTGGGAGCAGGTATCAACGGTTGTAATCGTCCTCTAATAAATGGTGATATTTGCGGCCTCAACAGCCTTTCCGTACCGCGGTGCAAGCTGTCAAGGAGGAGACAGAGGAATCGCATTTCCAACATCTTTGACGTGGAACTAAACGAGAGGCGGAACACAAGCCTTGGCGTGACGGAGGTCGGACGGGACAGCCGGAGCGCTGTCGTTGGGAGGAATTATTGCAGTCAGCGTGGTAGGCGCTGGGCAGACAGACGGACCACTTGCTCCCTCTGCTGCTTGTCTGTCCGCTCCCCCAAACACAGCAAATGAAGGGCTTCAGCGCTGGGCTGGGCTGTGCTGCTGCTTCTTGTTCTCGCCATGGATTGGCAAGGAAGGTCTGGAGATCTGAACCGTCGATGTGACAGTCATTCAACTTGGCCGATGCATAGAGCCGTTGATTGACGTTGTAGTATTGAGGGATAACCCAACGAGGTTTCGCCACAAAGCTTTTGCCACGCTCGCCACAAGGGCCTGATTTGCTAGCTGCAGTTGTTACGTTCGCGAACGGCGGTCCAGCTGGTTCGACTCGGAAGCACGATCAGCGCGGTACTGTACGTGAATTTCGTCACAAGGCAGGATGATTGGCTGGAACCACGTAGTTCCCAATGGATGCTGTTGTGTATGGGGCAAATGTGACGCGGCTCGTCAGATATACCCAGAGAGAACCAGCTCGATATCCGATATGGTTATCGACACCTCGAGCTGATTGTTATGTGCAAAGCACAACTTCGAATCTCAACTGAACCCGAAATCCAAAAACCTTGTACCCTGCTTTTCTGCTTGCTCCGTTTCGAATTAGCAACAGTAGTACGTCCGTGTATCGCGGGGAGGTTCATAAGGAGTTAGCTGGCTATAGTCGGTTCAGTCGGCGATCGACCTGCAATCCGTCGCGACCATCGTCCTTGAAACGCGTTGCGTGTAGTAGTACCTGCAAACACGCGACGGAATTATGGCATGCACTCTGGAGCGCATTTCACCGCTTCACACGTCTCACATCTTTTCTCACTCGATACAGGGGCAGCCTTTAGCGCGTAGATCCTCAGCGCCCTGTTCCCTCCCTCGCACCAGTCAACGGCTAGCCGTTCAATGCGGTCGGCACGCCGGCTCACTCCGACGGCCCAGTGAGTGTAGTTACCTCTCAACAGTTGACGGTTGCCGCCTAGTCCAGCCATTCCCACCTATCACGTTTGATTCGAAAAATTCCCAGAGAGCCTCGTTCAAGTTTGACGGTTTCACGTTCTGGCGTATCACTTTCGACTCGACTCATTCCCACGAGCCTCCTATACATGCCATATCGAATTCATCTGTTTATAGAACGGTTCTGTTAACACTAGCGAATGCCCTTTCTTTCGTCCCCTCGTTTCTTCTCTCGCTCCGCCCTCACCCCGTACGCTCCCCCCAACCATTCCGCTTCCATTCACGGTCTGCTTTCCCTACCGCTCCGCTTCCCCCGATCACCCGGCAGAGTCCACGAGGCGGAAGTCGAAGCCCGCGCGCTCCGCGGATGGGCAGCGTGCGGGAAGGAGCGGTGGGGGGGGTGGGAGGGCGTCGGTGAGCGAGGAGGTGTTCTCCCTGGGGAAGGGATGGCTGGTGGACCCCGCCGCGCTCATGGGCGGAGAGGCGGGGGGCGAGGAAGGGCGCGGGGGGGCAGAAAGGGCCAGGGGAGCGGACGGCGGAAGGGCAGTGGGCGGGGGGCCAGGGGGGAATGAGGCGGCGGGAATAGCAGGGCTGGAGCCTGGGAAGACGCGCAGCACTCACAAACTGCTCAAGGTGCGTGAGGGGGTGTGCGTGGAGAAGATTGGGAGGGGGGGTTGAGTGGGAGGGAAGGAGAGGGGGTTTTGTGGGGTTGTGGGAATGTGTGGGTGTGTGGTTGTGTCCGTATGTGTGTTTGTGATGTCCCCCCGCCTCTCCCTCCGCTTTCCTTTCCGCTTCCCCCATCTTCCCGCCTCTAACCCGTCCTGCCTCTCCTCCTCTCCCGCCCCTTCTGCACCATCCCCACCCTTCCTTCTCCTCCACCTTTCCCCATCCCCCTTCTTCCTCCCTTCCCCTTCCCCGCCGTTCCTTCCCTCTCCCCCCTCACCCCTGTCCCCCGCAGATCGTCCAAGGTGCCACCCGGGGGAGGCGTGTTCTGTCCCCAGCTGACAGCAACGTGCGCCCATTGATGGAGGGCGTGTGGGCGGCCACTTTAAACCCGAAACCCGAAACCGTAAAGCCACTGACACCAGACTTTTCTTCTCCTATTCCTACTCCCCTCACTCCCCCCTTCCTCCCCACCCCCTCCTCCCCTCCCTTTCCCCCCCTCTCCCCCACCTCCCCTTCCCCTCTCCTTCCCTCCTTTCCCTCCCCCCTCCCCCTGTCCCCCCCCTAGATTGTGTCAGGCACCAACCGGGGGAGGCGTCTTCTGTCGCCTGCCGACCGCAATGTGCGCCCCATGATGGAGATGGTGCGGGCGGCGGTCTTCGACATGTTGCACGCGCTGCTGGACGCGCCGCACCGCCTGCCGACTGGCTCGCGCTGGCTGGACCTGTACAGCGGCACGGGGAGCGTGGGGCTAGAGGCCATGAGCCGAGGGTGTGGGCAGGTGAGGGGAATGGGGCATGAGCCGAGGGTGTGGGCAGGTGAGGGGAATGGGGCATGGGGGGCACGGGGGGGCACGGGGGGGCATGGGGGGCATGGGGGCATGGAGGGCACGGGGGCATGGCATGGGCAGCACTGGCAGGCATGCAACTCGCGCTGGCTGGATCTGTACAGCGGCACGGGGACTGTGGTGAGGGCAGGTGAGGGCAGATGAGGGTAGGTGTGCGGAATGTGCCATTCAAGCACTGAATGGTGTGCGGCATGTGCCATTCAAGCACTGAATGGTGTGCGGCATGTGCCATTCAAGCACTGAATGGTGTGCGGCATGTGCCATTCAAGCACTGAATGGTGTGCGGCATGTGCCATTCAAGCACTGAATGGTGTGCGGCATGTGCCATTCAAGCACTGAATGGTGTGCGGCATGTGCCATTCAAGCACTGAATGGTGTGCGCAGGTGGACCCGTGGGCCGCCTCCTCTGTCACTCGCTCTCACCCTCTTCCCTCCCCCCTCCCTGTCGCAGGCGCACTTCGTGGTGATGGACCCATGGGTCGTATCGACTGTGCTGGTCCCCAACATTGAATTGAAGCCTGCTCCGCCTCCTCCCACTCCCACACCACCCACTCGCTTTCTCTTTCGTCTTCTCTCCCTACCTTCCTACCTTCCTGCCCTCCTGCCTCCGGCAACCCTTCCCTCCCTCCCTCTCTCCCTGCCTCTGGCACCCCTGCCCTCTGCTGCACGCGCACTTCGTGGAAATGGACCCATGGGTCTCCTCTGTGCTCACTCCCAACACCAAGCCTGCTCTGCTATCACCTCACTTCATGGAGGCGGACTGTGGGTCATATGCTCTTTCGTGCTCTCCCCCCTCTACCCCCGCCAATCCTTCTCAGGCGCACTTCGTGGAGATGGACCCTTGGGTCGTATCATCCGTGCTATCCCCCAACATTGAAGCCTGCTCCGCCTCCTCAAACACCACCATCCACCCTCTCAAAGTCGAGTCCTTTCTCCAGCAAGCAAAAGAACGAGGAGGTACGGTGAGGTACGGTGTGGTATGGTGAGGTACGGTGAAATATGAGGAGGTATGAGAAGGTACGAGGAGGAACAAAAAGGTACGGAGGCAATCCTCATCTGAACCTTCCTCAGCATTCTGTCTTCCATCCCTCTTCCCTTACCCCCTCGCTCTCTCCTGCCCTGCCCCACTCCTCGTCCTCCACACGCTTGTCCTCTCCATATCTCCTGCCCATCCTATCCACGTGATAAAAAGTAGTGTTTTGAGGCGTCTCAAATTTCCACTTATTTTCACATGGCTTGTCCTCTCCATAATTCCTGCCCATCCTATCCTGCTCGCTCTCCAGACCTCTTTTCCTTAAATCCCCCCCCTCCTCCCCTCCCTCCCCCTTTTTCTGCTTCCTTCTTCTCTCTCCCCCCTACTCTCTTTTTTCGCTTCCCACCTGGCAGCATTCCATTCTCTCTCATTCTTTTCCCATTCTTTTCATTCCACTACCTTCCTGCCTTCCGCTGCCTTCTTTTGAGGCGCCTCAAAAGTCCTTCCTGCCTTCCGCTGCTCTCCTCACGCACCCTCGCAGCCGAGTGGGTGGGAGAGCCCTTCACTTTCATCAGCGTGATCCCCCCCTCTATGACCTTCATCTCAACAGCGCTCCTGCTTTAACCCTGCATGTCCTCCCGCCCACCACCCTCCTGCTCTACACTCTTCTTTACGCCCTCGCAGCCGAGTGGGTGGGAGGGCCCTTCAGCTTCGTCAGTGTGACCCCCCCCTATGAGCTCATCGTGTACAGCCAACTCATGGCCCAGCTCGCTGCCTCCCCGCTGCTGCACCCAGAAACATGCATGGTGCGAGCGAGCATGGGTGTATGGTGTGTGGCGGGGGGAAGGGGGGAGGGGGAGTACTTATGGATGCATGTACGCTCACCTCATGGCCCAGCTCGCTGCCTCCACATGCATGCTGCGGCTGTGTCATTTTTCATGGAATCATGCATGTGCCGGCACTTTCACTGCGATGGTGATGCAGGGCATAGGAGGGGAAGGAATGGTGGTGCTGTGACGGCACATGTATGCGTGCTGCCATGTCTCTGTGTTTGCTGCTCTGTGTCCATCCTTCTTACTCACTCCACCTCACACTGCCCATTGTATCGCATGCATCCGGACAGGTGGTGGAGTATCCAATCAGCTAACTCCAATTCCACTCATAACTCAGCTTACCTTGTCTTCCTCACACTGCCCATTGTATCGCATGCATCCTGACAGGTGGTGGAGTATCCAAACAAATCTAAGGATGAGATATTGCACACATGCGGTCCTCTATATAAGGTGACTTCATAATTTTTTCTGCATAGCTCATCTTTTTTCTTAATCCTTCCCATCATCTATGCCTGTGTTTGCTGCCATGCGAGACGCTCCACTCCTCCCTGCTGTCCTGTGCTGAACATGGCGTTTCTCCCTACTTCATGCTGTTCAGATCAATGATTGAAAGTATGGGCGAATCCGAGAGAACACCAGTTAGGTGTCATAGGGTCGATACGTGGCAGCAACTTAGGGATTAACACTCCACTCCTCCCTGCTGTCCTGTGCTGAACATGGCGCTTCTCCCCTCTCCACTCCATGCTGCGCAGATCAAGGATCGAAAGTATGGGCGAACCAACGTGGCCATATATGGCCCTGCATGGGCTCTGGGAGACGATGTGCAATGGCAATGATGGCAATGGCAATGATGGCAATGGCAATGATGGCACTGGCAATGATGGCACTGGCAATGATGGCACTGGCAATGATGCCAATGGCAATGATGGCACTGGCAATGATGCCAATGGCAATGATGGCACTGGCAATGATGGCACTGGCAATGATGGCACTGGCAATGATGGCACTGGCAATGATGGCACTGGCAATGATGGCACTGGCAATGATGCCAATGGCAATGATGGCACTGGCAATGATGCCAATGGCAATGATGGCACTCAGATTCGTTTCGGGGCAGGCTGAAGAATTACAGATTGATCAGGGCTGGCATGTATGTACTACTTTACACCTCAATGGCCGTCTGTACTACTGGGTACAGTACCGAAAGTTGTAATTGCAAGCCTGCTGTGATCATAGTTCATTCTCTGTTTACCTCCTATACCGTATTCCCCCGGATAAAAGACCCTAGGGTCTGTTATTGATTTCATAAAAAATGTGGGGGGTCTTATTAAATTGTATAAAAACTATAAGACCCGGGTCTTACTAAAAATGCTATGTTTTTTCTGAATGTAGTGAAATGCAGGGGTGTTGTAGTGCTGTGCTGCATTTTTTAAACAGGGAAACACCACGCGAATGTCCTGGGCCGAGGAAGCGGGCACAATCAATGAAGCATCTGAATGCTTCATGCACATTGGCCCACATTGAGTGGTAACCAGCATGCTAGATCACGGGGCGACGGACGTGTACCACGTCCACTGCATTGTGTCAGACCACCTCGAAACAGAAACAGAAACAGGGACTGATATTTTCATGTTAAAACACTTCTGAGGTTTGGGGGGGGGTATTATCATGATTTCACCCCAAATGGGGGGTATAACAAAAACAGCCTGTAATAAAATACCCCCCCCCCCCCCCCCCCCCCCCCCCCGCCCGTATTAAAGAACCGGGTACATTATTTGTCAGAATCCCAGTCTCTGCTCGTGACACAAGGCAAGCATTGCCTTGTTGTCGACGTACAGAACTGGAGGAGAACGAGGCCGCTCCCCCAAGTCGGTCAGCCAGCGTAGCTCCTGTGCAGCCATGACCCCAGCGTAGATCTCGGCCTCACAGCTGGAACTAAGCACAGAAGAAGAGCGAGTGGACCTCCACGAGACAGAACCAGAGCCAAGACTGAAGGTGTAACCCTGTGACGAACGCTGAGTCGCCTGGTCGTCGGCCCAAGAAGCGTCGGAGTGTCCTGTGAGTACGACTGAACCCTCTCCTCCAAGCACGAGCCCCATGCCCGATGTACTGCACAAGTAACGCAGTACCCTCTTCGCAGCATCCTAGTGCACCTTTCGGTGTCTACCGGGAGCCACGTAGCGAGCCAGGAGGCTGAGAGGGTACACGAGGTCAGGTCGTGTGCACGTCATCAGGTGCATGAGGCAACCCACAAGCTCTGGGTATGGACCACTCGGCTCTATGGACTCGTCCAAAGGTGGAGCTGAGAGCGAGTGGCCGGTAGACAGAGGAGTGGGCTGTGGCGAGGAGAACTGGAAGCCGAAGCACTGAAGGACCTGGTGCACCATGTGTGACTGAGTCAGTGTGATGGTGCGCCGTGCTCTATCCCAGGTGATCTGCAAGCAAAGATAGCTACGCAACTCACCCAGGTCAGTGCAGGTGTGTCTCTCCTGCAGCTCCACCTTCACTAGGGCTAGTGCCTCAGTGTCAGCAGTAGCAAAAACCAAGTCGTCGACGTACACGAGAACATAGAACGGCGGCAGGGTAGTGTCGGTGCGTAGAAACAGCGACGGGTCAGCAGAGGAAGGAGCAAACCCAAGAGCCGCAAGCGTCGTCCTCAGTGTCGTGCCACTCTCGGGGCGCCTGGCGGAGACCGTAGACTGGCCACTGGAGGCTCCACTGGGTACCCGCAGGAAATGACCCAGTGAAGCCGGGTGGGCGGCGCAGCCATATCTCCTCGTGAAGGCTGCCCTGCAGGAAAGCTGTGGAGAAGTCGAGGGAGTGCAGCTCATAGTCATGCTGTGCTGCATGCAACGTGCAGCAGCATCCGAAGAGTAGTCATCTTCGAGGTGGGGGAGAAGGTCAGGAAGAAGTCGACCCCCTGTTGCTGACTCAAGCCTCGAGCAACGTAACGCGCCTTGAAGGCAGGCCGATTCACTCTGAAAATCCACATGCCATCGACTATGTTCGCCCCAAGAGGAGGAACCTCGTCAACATAGGTGCCTGTGGACTTCAAGGAAGCCATCTCTGCGTCCATGGCTGTCTGCCACTGAGAGGAGTACTCACCCGCGATCGCCTCAGCGTAAGAGCGCGGGGTAGGGATGTCAAGTGCATCCGGGTCTCCCTCAGGGCAAAGCAGCATGGATGCGAAACGAGGTAAAGTAGCCGCAGGACACTCAAGCTCAAACTGTCTGTCCTCAAGTACGTCACTGCTAAGGGCAGGCTCACCCCCGACGGACGGAGGACAGAAAGACTCAGACTCAGTGACAAGACTCGCGATGTAGTCAAGACGACTCCTAGCAGCAAAGTCGACTAGCTCAGTGACTAGGGCAAACGCTGCAGGAGACTCAAGGTCAGGGTCAGTGACGACAGTAGCGAGGAGACGAGTGACAGTAGGACTGGCAGCACGAGCAAGGTCGGAATCAGGGTCAGGAATGTGCGGGAGAGAGGACGTGGGAGGCTCAGGCAGGAAAACATGCAGTGGAACAGAGGAAGGACGAAGTGCCATACCGTGAGTGCCTGGGACAGCAGGAGGACAAGGACGGGCGACATGACGAGCACGAACAGGTGTGAAAGCACGAGTCTCAGGCTCATGACACTCAGTCAAGGACTCAGTCACCTCAGTGTGCGGAGCAGGAGCAGGCGGCAAGGAGCTGGGCAGTAGCTGTGGCGGAGACTGGTCTGTCGGTGAACACAGGAGAGGTGGAGCGAGGCCAGTGGAAGACGGGAGACTAAGAACCTGGCGAAGGACCGAGTCAGGCGCCGGCAGGGACGACTGCGGCTGCGGGTAGAAAAACAGTCGGCGCGGGGCAGAACCAGCAGGTCGAGCTCCTCCAGCACCAGCACCTCCAGCCCCAGCAGCTCCAGCAGCTCCAGTACCTCCTGTACCTCCAGCGCCTCCGCCTCGAGCACCAGCAGTACCTCCAGCACCTCCAGTGCCAGCAGCTCCAGTAGCACCTCCAGCACCTCCAGCACCAGCAGCACCACCTGCTCCGGCAGCTCCAGCACCTCCAATAACTCCAGTACCTCCAGCTCCAGCGGCTCCAGCACCAGCAGCACCACCTGCTCTGGCAGCTCCAGCACCTCTAGTACGAGCACCTCCAGGAACAGCAGCTCTAGCACCTCCAGTACCTCCATTACCTTCAGCTCCAGCGCCTCCAGCACCAGCGGTATCTCCAGCACCTCCAGTGCCAGCAGCTCCAGTAGCACCTCCAGCACCTCCAGCACCAGCTGCACCACCTGCTCCGGCAGCTCTAGCACCTCTAGTACGAGCACCGCCAGGACCAGTGTCAGAATCGTGAAGGAAGGAATGACTGAACTACCAAGCAGGTGGGTACAAGTAGGAAACCTAAAAGTGTTGTACCCTATATGAACTACCCCACTACAGCCTAGACAGACTATAGCATATAAGTTTGAGACACCCCCATAGGCAAAGTGGGGGAGAACAAGAGGTCACAAGACCGGTCAAGAAAGGCAAAGCAAGCTCAGGGTGGATCACGACGTCACCACACATTCTGAGCACAAGCAAATGGCCACAAGGCCAGTTCACATGCACAGTTATATAAAGGAGAACAAGCAATACAGTGAACACAACCTAGCAAGTGTAAGCATGCAGGTATATGTATAAAGATCACAGTACAAACAGAGTCAAGAAGTGAGCAAGTGAGGCCAAGAAGGCACAAGACCTAACATAGTACAAAAACGCTGATGATCACAAGGCTGATGTGCCTTGGTAAAGATATCAGCAGTGTTGGCCCGAGTGGCCACGTAAGCAAGACGGAGCTGACCACGCTGCTGCAACTCTCGAGCAAGGAAGTAGCGCAGAGCAATATGCTTCGTTCTGTGCTCCAGTCTGTGCTGCTGACACAAGGCAAGCATGACCTTGTTGTCGACGTACAGAACTGGAGGAGAACGAGGTGCCTCTCCCAAGTCGGTCAGCAGGTAGGTGAGCCAGCGTAACTCCTGTGCAGCCATGGCCCTAGCGTAGATCTTAGCCTCACAACTGGAGCTGAGAATAGAAGACGAGCGGATAGACCGCCAAGAGACAGAGCCGGAGCCAAGGCTGAAGGTGTAACCCTGTGACGACCGCTGCGTAGCCAAGTCGTCAACCCAGGAAGCGTCTGCGTGACCAGTGAGGACAACTCGAGCCCGTCCTCCAAGCACGAGCCCCATGCCCGACGTACTGCACAAGTAGCGCAACACCCTCTTCGCAGCATCCCAGTGCACCTTTCGGTGTCTACCGGGAGCCACGTAGCGAGCCAGAAGGCTGAGAGGGTATGCGAGGTCAGGCCGTGTGCAAGTCATCAGGTACATGAGGCAGCCCACAAGCTCTGGATATGGGCCACTCGGCTCTACGGACTCGTCCAAAGGTGGAGCTGAGAGCGAGTGACCGGTAGGTAGAGGAGTGGACT